AAGACTGCCCAGGAAGGGAGCGAGGCTGGCAGGGGGCCGTGGGCACGGAGGAGGGCACCAACAAAGGAGAAGGGACGGTGTGGCCGGCTGGCACGGACACTGACACCTCGGGACTGGTGCACTTATCGGGGCCTCCTGAGCGGTAGGCCCAGGGGGAGCTCAGCCTGCCTCAGAGGTCCACCTGGGAGAGGTGGGCATGGCAACCAGGACTCCTACAGGTGCTGAGCTGTGAGACCTCCTGAAACCTGGGCCACCCGACAGCGAAGGAGGGTGGGGGCCCCACAGCCGGCCCCTCCGGCCCCCAGCAGCAGCAATGTTGGCCTGGAGCCAGGGAAAAGTGGTCGCACAGCCTAGTGGCCAGCAGGGTGTTGTCCCCAGAGGGGTGGGCCTCAGTGTCTGCTCCCATGAAATGGGGACATTGGCCTTGGGGTCAAGGTGAAGGGCAAAGGCCTGCAGGGTGCAGTACCTCGTAAAGGGCCATTCTTGTGCAACCTGTCTACCAGGCCTTTGCCCGGGACCGCCCTCTCTCACCCTTTGCTCCTTTCAGTGGAAAGTCTCAGCGTGCAGTGAGGCATGCAGCTTGGGACAAAATGCACCGCCTCCCTTGCCCGTCCTTGTGTCCCAGGCGTCCACACTGGTGGGGAAGACCACCGCAGAACTGACCCAACCCCGCACGGTTCCCACCCGGGCCCAGTCCCCACCACCAGCGGTGTCCCCACCGGTCAAGTGCAGGACAGAGCCCGAGGTCATGATGTGCAGGACAGAAGTCTGGCTGAGCCCGCCGACAAGCCCTCCCTTCCAGCGAGCTCTTTGAAGACAAGTTAGGGCAGTAAGGACCCGCCTCCAGGGTCCACGGACAGGGTGCGCGGGGCACGCACGTGGTGCGAGGCGGCGGCTTCCTCCCCACTGAAGTCACAGACTTGGCTCGCCATGGCGGGACCGGCGCGCAAACGCGGCTGGAGCCAAAAAGGAAAAGAAAAAAAAAAAAGCAAGCAAAGCGCACACAATGTGTTTCTTGTTAGGGATTCGCACGCTGGGGCCTGGGGTTTTGCTTTGGGGACCGCATTATAATACGAAGACACAGTCTGATCCCGGCCAAGCCCGCCCTCTTCGCCGGCTGCTGCGGGTTCCCACGGGCGCCGGCGGGCGGCAGGGACAGCCCGACCAGGGGTCCCCGTGGCAGTGACCCGGGCTCCCCGCGGAGGCCGAATCCGCAACACGCGCCCGGGTGTAGGGGAGGCGGAGAAGAGGGGGTAGCGACGCAGACTCTGTGACGCCTGCTCGCGGGCGGCCCAAGATTGTTTTCCAAGTCCTTATCTCTCACTCAAGTTAATTTTCTGTTTTAATGTGGTGACCGGAACGAAAGTCAAGGGGCAAATCCTAGGTGAAGAGCCAATGGGGGCGTCTCGTGGCCCTGGGAACACAGCATATCCTAGGCGCGCGCTCCAAACTTGGCTTTCTTTAAACAGAGCTGACAAGCGACGGCCCCCAAGACCACCACGAGCGGCTGGGTGTCCCGTGACGAGGGACCCGGGGGCGCACGCGGCCGGGGGCGGGGTCGCCGCCAGCGCCTGGCCAGGGACGTTCTTAGCCCTGTACAAGGCGACGTGCCAATCAGCCAGACAGGTCGCCAGCAATACCCAAGGGCAGAAAGACAAACATCCCCTTGTTTGCTTTCTATGGCTTCACTCCTTTGCTTTCCCTCTCTTTGCCCCTCGTCTGAGGCCGTTTTAAACCCAAATTCGGTTATCTGGTTTCTGGGCAAGGGCTCCCCCTTTGCCAAGGCACTGAATAAACAAGCAGAACAAAACTTGGACTCCTTATGAAAGCCAGATGCTGCTTTCCTCGAAAACTTCAACAAACTCAAGGGAGCCTTAAAATGCGGGCCGGAACTCTTGCGCCCCCACACCCGCCCCCCACCTCCTCCTGCCGCACCCCGGCCTCAACGTCTCCGGAGCTGGGGCATTCCCGCCGCCGCCGCCCAATGGCTCCTCTCCGGGACCCACAAAAACCAGCGCGACTGACACTGAATCGCAAGGGGTAGCCTCGAGGGGTCTGCACGCCACAACGCCACGTTTCCCGGGAGAGCTGGGACCCACCCAGGCGGTGTCCTCATGCCAACTGCGAAGCTCCTGGCCTCCGGCCGCTCTCAGCCGGACTGATCTGGGCCTGGGTTCAGCCCAACCGCCGAGGACGCACTCAGAGATGTTCTGGAAATCTGGGGCGGCGGTGGGCAACCTCCCAGCTGTCCAAGCAGGGTGGCAGTAGGACCCGGGGTTCGGGTAGAAAGGGGGACGAGGAATGGGCATTTCCAGGAGGCATACAAGTTACTCAACCCGGTGAGCAGCATGGGGGACCCTTCTGGCCCTGCACTAGGAAAGTGACCTCCCAGCAGCCCTTCCTAGCGCCAGCCTCACCCTGGGCGCTCCGGTTACAAAAGCAAATAAAACCCAGCAAAATGTTTCGCTTTGGCAAGCTCCCGACCACGTTACATCTCCTTTCACCAAAGGAACTCTCCCTCTCCCGCTTTAACCCCCAGGCCTCTCCTCGCCCCCAAGCCCTCTTCTCTTCTGGGTCCTCCTTCCGGTCACCTAAACCAAGAAACTGAAGCCGCGCAGCGGCTGCAGGTGCGCGTGGGTCGGCGGCCGCACGGGGCGAGCCGGGGACGCCAGGGCATTGATCAGCTGGGCGCGCGCGCTGAGTGACGGCGCGGTTGCCATGGCAGCCGCCTGAGCGGCGCCGCGAGGACACGGCAGCGGGGCGGCGTGAATGGGCGGCGTCACGCGCCTGGCGCCAGCGAGTCTGCTCCGGGGCTGCGGCTCCGGCTCCGCCACGGCCCGGCCCGCGCGCCGCCGCCGCCCATTCATCACCTGTCAGAGATCACGCGGGGGTGGGGAGGTGTCCCGGAGCAAACGGACACAGCTGCGAGCACCAAACTGCGGGGAGAAAGGCGCGCGCACTCCCCAGCGCCAGATGTGCGGGGCGGGTCTGGAGACGCGGCACTGCGCCGGGACTGCAGGGCGGCCGGGGCGGAGCTGCTTCTGATTACCGAGCAGGGGCCGGCGCGGAGGGCGCCCAGCGTCGGGAGGAGACGCTGAGCTGGGCGCGCGGCTTCCCGGGCAGGTCTGTGCCTTGAGCAGGGGGGCGTGCACCCCACCTCTGCCGGAAGCCCCTCGCGCCTTCCCGGCGCACCCGGCGCCTGCTACAGCCCGGAGCATTTGAACTTGAGTGGCCGCAGTGCCGGCCGGCCTTCGCCCCTGGCCACATTTTGAAGTGCCCTTTCACCCGCCTGGAGAGTACTGGCCACGGAGTCCTCCCCTGCCGCCCTCAGCTCGTGCTGAGCTTAGACCTGCCAGGAGTAGCTCAAGCCTTTTCCCCCTCCAATCATTAACTTATACAGCCTCCTAATCCCCTTAAAATGAGCCTAAATGAATGCACAACCGAACAGCTTGCCAGGGGACGGGAAGGCGACCCACTCAGCAGGCACGCTGCAGCCGGGAAGCCTGCGCCGTCTTTAGCTGTTTTACTACACCAGGGCGCGGGCGCCGCGCGGCGGGGACAGTGTCCCGATTCCCAGGTGACAATCTGAGCATCCCCAAGGGGCTTGCTGTAATGGGGGTGGGCTTGTAAGGGGATGAGTACAGGAGATAAGGGAGAGGGTATAAATTGATGGTGCATGAGATATTGTAGGGTAAGGAAGAGGATTAGAGAGGGTAAATGAGATAGATGAGAAGACATAAAGTGATTGGAGGGGAGGGTAAAGGAGAGGGAGGAAAGGGGTGGATGTGTGGTGGGTAAGGTAAAGTAGAAGGGGAGGTGGGGGGGTTGAGTATGGATAATAGAGGGGAAGGAGGATATTGGGAAGGATAGGAGGATGGGGGGGGGAAGGAAGGGGAAATACCGAGGAGGAATTAATATTAATTGGTGGGGGAGAGCGCGGGGTACACGACGGGGAGATTGGACTCCGGTAAATTGAGGGAAGAGGAGAGAGAGGGGAGGTTGAAAATTGTGTTTGTAAGATCGGGGAGGGCAGGGATGATGAGGTTGGAGGGGGTGAGGTGGTTTGTGTAAGGGATAGGGGATGAGTATAGGTAAGGGTTGAGGGGATGGGGTTTGTAGGTATGGATTATTTGAAATTGTAGAGAAGAAAAAGGTTTTTAAGGGGGGGGAAGGGGGGGGGTTATGGAATGTAGTTTGGAAGGTATGAATAATTTGGTGTAGAAAGGAGGGAATAATAGTTGAGGTATAAGGGGATGGATGGGTGGGAAGATTAAAGAAAGAATGGGAAAGGAGAGAGGGGGATGGGGATGAAAGGCAAATACCCTGGGGACTCCCGGGGTCCAGGCCGCGGGCCCGCACGGGAGCCCAGGAGAGCCCGGCGCGAGGAGCGCGCGGCCTCGGATGGGGACCCCTCGCTCGCGCCCCCCGGAGGCCTCGTGCGGGCAGGCCGGAGATGGGCGCGGACGCGGGCGTGGGCGGGCTTTTGGGGGTCTCCGGGCTTTCTCTTATCTTAAAAAGGAAGTGCTTTTGCCAACGTGGGAGCTGAGGGGCGAACGTCTGCGCCTTCTCACGTTCTCCTCCGACGCTCCTGGGCGCTCCTTGGCCACCGCGGCCTTTCCCCGCACCGGGCTCCACTCGCCCGCGTCGCTGGGACTCCCAGGGCTCCCGGGAGCGGCGAGGTGTGCGCAGGGCGGGCCGTGGAGCGGGGTTACGCACACACGCGGGGACGGGGCCGCCCGCGCCGGGATGCGGGGCCGTGGCCCGCGGCCCGCGCCCCGCGCCTACCCTACTCTATTTACCACCAGCTGGGCGCGCCCCGCCCACCCCGCGGGGATTGGCTGCCAACGCGGAAGGACCCCGCGCCCGCGCCCGCCAGTGGGAGCGCGCGCTCGGCCTGATGGACACGCCGCTCTCCGCCAATGGGGACGGGAGGCAGGCCGCTGGCGTGGCGCCGGCGAGCGCGGATAAAAGCCGCCCCGCCGGGCTCCGGCTTCATTCTGCCGAGCGCGGTGCGGCTCGCGGGCAGCTGTGCAGGCGGCGGCGGCGGCCTGAGCCCCGGGCAGCCTCCCTCCGCTCTCCTCTCCGCGCGCGCTCAGCATGAAGGCCTTCAGCCCGGTGAGGTCGGTGAGGAGGAGCAGCCTGTCGGACCACGGGCTGGGCATCTCCCGGAGCAAGACCCCGGTGGACGACCCCATGAGCCTGCTGTACAACATGAACGACTGCTACTCCAAGCTCAAGGAGCTGGTGCCCAGCATCCCGCAGAACAGAAAGGTGAGCAAGATGGAAATCCTGCAGCACGTCATCGACTACATCCTGGACCTGCAGCTCGCCCTGGACTCGCACCCCGCCATCGTCAGCCGGCACCACCAGCGGCCGGCGCAGAGCCCCGCGGCGCGGCCGCCGCTGACCACGCTCAACACGGACGTCAGCATCCTGTCGCTGCAGGTGAGGCCCGCGCCCCCGCCGCGCGCTAACTTCACCTTCCGAGCCGCGCGTGACACCGCTGCGAACTTGGGGCGTGTGCGTGCGCGTCGGAGCGCGTTGGGTGCAACTTGGCGGGTTTGCGCGGGTGCAGGGGGCGGGGGTCCCTTCTCCCGTCGGTGGTCCCTAACGGGCTGCGTCTCTCCCCAGGCTTCCGAGTTCCCCTCCGAGTTCATGTCAGACGGCAGCAAAGCGCTCTGCGGCTGAGCACCCGGTGAGTGCGCGCGCGGTGTGCGTGTGTGGCTGCGGGACGCTGGCCTGGGGACGCCTTCGCTGCAGGCGGCTCCGAGCGTTAAAATAGAAGCTCCGGGGGCAGCGGTCGGCGGCGGCGGGGAGGGCTGCGTGGGGCGGCGGGGGCTGGCCCCGCGGAGCCGGCGCCGACTCCCGGCGTGTGTGGGAGCCAGACTTCCCTGCCCGCTAACCCGAGGGCTGTTTCCAATCAGGCTGGCGCCTGGGGTGGGGGGCCCCCGCCGCGGAGAGGCCGGCCTGCCCGGCGCCAGCCCGCCCACCGGCCCCGGCCCCCGCGGGTCCCTGGCGCTCACGGGCACGCCCGTCTCGGCCCGTCTTTTGCAGGTGTGCCTGAGTCGCTTCCCTCTTTCCTTTGCACAACACAGACCCGCAGGACCTTGGAAGGCGCCGAACTTGTCAAGCGTTTCGCAAGGGAGGACAAGTGGAACGGACTTTCTGGGGAAAAAAATGGAAGGAGCGGCAGGAGTGACGTCTTCCCGGGGTGTCCTCTGGCCTGGACGGTCAGCTCGTTATTTATGAAAAAGACTCGCCAGCCCTTTCCGCAGGTGGACGGCGTAGCTTCTTCCTAGTCCCACCGTGGGGAGCGGAGAACCTTGGCCGTCGAGGGGCTGCCCCCCCAGCTGTGCAGACTTTGCCTTTCTGGAAAGGCGGAGCGTGAACCCCAGCAGGAATCGGCGTGTTCTGAGAGCCAGTCTCTGGGTCAGAGGTTGCCTTTTGGACCTAAGCCGACTGGATGCTGTGTATATGTTTATATATATCTGTATCTATGGAGTGCGATCTCGCGAACTCTCATGAGAGTGTGCCTGTATAGTGGCGGAGACGCGTGTCTCTGCGTCAAAATGGCTAAACTTTTTATAAAAGTTTGGTTGTAAACTTCACCGTTTTCTACGAAATAAATACCGTGTGTTTATGGAGTGGTGCCTGCTTCGGTGATGTGTGTGTGTGTGTTTTAATGATGCTATGTTCTAAACAAATGCATTTCAAGTTACTGTAGACTGTACCATGATAATAAAACGTGTCTCCAAGTCCACACCTGAATTCTGAATGGTTTCTAAGCCGTCCGTCGCTCCCACCTGAGTCCGGACCCAGACCTGGAGCTTGGCTCCAGCCAACCGCCGCCCGGTCCTTGAAGGCGGGCCTGGGTACCTAGAGACGGAGCCCTCCGCCTCCTGGGGCTGCGACCCCCGCCAGGGACACAGGCCGACGCGTACAGCCCCCGGGCTGGGTGCCACCGCGCCTTGGCCCAGGGAGCCAGCAGTCCTGGCGCCTGCGTTCGGCCGCCTCGAGCTTTTCCCGTCACCTGCGCCCCACCTGGGTCGCCCTTCACTCTTGACCGCGCGAGGCTGTCGGGGCCGGGATGGGGGAGGGGAGGTGCCCAAGCAGGACCACCCCGGGCGCTTGGCGCACAGCCGCGTCCGCAGCAGCGCCGTGCACCTGCGCTGGGGCCTCGCCGCCGCCAAGTGGGAGGGCGCTCGGGGTGGGCCAGGAGGCGCACGGGCCAGCGCGGAGTCCACCCGGGGCCCTTCCCGGCCGCCGCAGGTGCTGCAGTGGCGCCGCCGAGTCTGCTCCACCGACGGGGGGCGGCGGTGCCAAATCCTTATCCGGTACTCCATCGGGGGTCCGGGATGGCTGCAGGCTCCGAGCCCCGCGGGCCGCCGTGGTCTGTACGGGAAGCGGGGTCGGGTTGCGTCGGCGGCGCGAGCGCTGCCCTGCCCGCCTGGCCCCGCGCCCTGGTCGTGTGCGTGTGCGTGCGCGGCGGGACGGCCGGTGCCTGCCCGAGCCCCGCGCTTCCCGGCCGGCCCGGCGTAGGGGCCGGGTGCCACCTGCTGGCAGGCGCGAGGACTGCGCCCAGGGACCCGAGGACAAGCCTGGGCCGGGAGGCAGGTGTCCCGGGTGGGCGTGCGGGTCAGCCCGGACGGGACCCCACGCCGTGCGGTGGCACCCGCCACAGCCTGCCGGAGAGTCACCGGAGCCTTCCCTGCCCACCTCCCGCAGTGTTTAATTAGTATCTCAATTAAAAACAGCTTGCATCTGCTCTGCGGCCGCTGAGGCACGCACGGTAATCCAGTTCTGAGGACCCCTTCGGTTGCACGGCCTTGGGGTCAGCTTGGTATTGTTTCTGTTTCATGATTTGGAAGTGTTTGGTAAGATACCTGTTGCCTTTCTTGGTAGTATTTTCCTTTGGTTGATTTTTCTGTTGGCCAGTATTTTGAAACTAGTCTTATTGTACAGCCCTTTGGTCTCTCCCATGTGGGTGCAGATCCCAAGGACTGGACCATCCTCCGCTGCTTTCTCAGGCCATAGCAGAGAGCTGCGTCAGAAGTGGACTGCATGGGCTAGAATTGGCACCCCTGTGGAATGCAGCCCTGACGCCCTGAGGACCTGAGGCCAGGGCTGGGACAAAGAAAGGGCACTTTGGAACACCTCCGCCCAGATCCACGCGTACCCACCAGCTGTTGGGTTAGGGACACAGTGACGGTGAGGGTGGGCTGAGACCGGGCAGTGCCCGCGGTTGGCCTGGCAGTAGTGGACACAGCCCCCCGGGAATCAGAGAACCGTCATCAGAGCAGACCGCCCAGCACACGCACTGTGGCGGAGTGCAGGAAGCCAGCAGAGAACAGGACAGGAGACAGCGCTGCCCCCGAGTGAAGGTCACACACAAGCATGAAGAGCCCCACAGAGCCAGAAGCGACCGAGCAGGAGAGAGCAGTGTCCCAAAGCACGCAGGGGAGCCTCGGGCAGCCGTGGACATCCAGGAGTTTCTGAAACCAGGCTGAAAAGCTGCTGGAAAGAGTTGGAGGGAGGGAGAGCTTCCTTCGCTAGCCTGAAGCCACCGCTTTCCGAGCTCTCCTGCCACTGTCCCCCTGTCTCGGGCTTCACCCAGGACTGTCTCAAGCACGCTGGCAGGGAGTGGACCGGGAGTGGAGCAGCCAGACCTGGAACTGGCATTCATTGGGATGCTGGCGGGCGGGCGCAGGCAGCTCACTGTGCGATCCCCCAGGGGATGGGATGCTGGCGGGCGCAGGCAGCTCACTGTGCGATCCCCCAGAGGATGGGATGCGCAGGCAGCTCACTGCGATCCCCCAGAGGATGTATTCTGCAGACAAAAGGGACTGCAAGGGAATCATTGATTTCATTCTGTTTCAAGTGTGGGATTTTATTCCATGATATGGCTATTGTAGGATAAGCAAAGAAGTAGCAGTACGAAGATTAAGACCCAAGGTTTTCCGGTTAAGAGATACGAAAGTTTCAAGTGTAAAGTGGAGGCGTTCACTGACGTTTATCCGTCTAGCTTTCCACTGCCCGGGAGCGGGGCCACAGCCGGGAATAGCGCCCAGCCCCTGGGGCTTTCTGGGGTAAGAGGCTGTGGAATGAGACCGCGACCAGCAAAGCCGACAGAGGGGCTCCCTGTGGGTACATGCAGCACCCCACGACCCGTCCAACGGACGGCAATGAAGACCCGGATGTGACAGACAGGCCTTGCTGGGATCACTAATCCTGCACAGGACACTTTCCTGACAGCTGAGGACAGCGGGGCTGCGCATGACACAGGAATCCCCTGAGGGAGGCTGCGGGGAGTGTGCGTTGGACGAAAAAGCTAGGGAGAGATGCCAACCTGTACATCGTGACGTCATGATGTCCTGAGGAAAGAGACAGGCGCGGGGGAGATAGCACAGAGCTGCTGAGTGACAGGCACTGTGGGGCGATCTGTGCACCTGTGTGTGTGTGTGTGTGTGTGTGTGTGTGTGCGCGCGCGCGTGTGTTGGAGGTGTCCCAGGTGAGGGCTGGAGTCTGGGTGTGGTCTGCCCATGTATAAGTTTGGGGGCACACGTCCCCAGTGCCGAGGTCCAGATCTCCTCTGCCCCTGCTGCCCCTGAGGGATGGGAGGAGCAAGATCCATGGTTTGCAGTTGCCCCTCAGGAGCCCATGTACTTGGTGCCCGTCCCCAGGGTGGTGGCCCTGATGAAGAGCCTTCCTTCGTGCAGGGCATTTCCTCCTGGTCCCTGGTGGCTGTTTGGGGTAAAGCCTTGGGGAACCAGCCTGAGTCTGGCCTCTCGGCCTCCCACCTGGCCTGAACACAGCCCTGCAGCTGCCCTGGAAGCCTGCACCCTGCCCTACACATCCTAGCCGACCTTTTGAGCTTGCAAAACTGACAGCAGCGGAAGTCAGCAGCCCGCCTCGGGCGTCCCATCGTGGCCAGTGGACAAGTGAGAAATCGGCCAGCCCTTTGCCCAGCGGTGTCAATCTGCTGGATGCCCGCCCTCCTCTCCCGCATGCCTGCCTCTCTCCTCACTCTGCCTTTGCACCTGCTGACACAGGTGTGCCTCTGGGCTTCTCGCCGTGTGGCTCAGAACACATCCAGCGCCCTGACATCCTCGCTGTGCCGCCTCTTCCCCCGCTGCTGCCCCGAGCAGAAGGAACAGCGTGCCCTCCCCAGGGATGTGCTGGTGCGAGCCGGTTCTCTGCCACGGAGAGACCGCGCTGTTTTGCAAATACCATTTCCTTTACACACCAGGTTCTGGTGAGATGCCATGCTGCTGGCCTCTCCGACGTCCCGTGGAAGCAGAACGGGTGGTGGGGAGGGCGAGGCCCTTGGAGGCATCCTCACTTTCTCAGAATTTGCCAAAACCTCGCCTCCAGAGCTCAGCAAAAATGTCAGCCGAAAGTTTAATTTTCTAAAGGAAGATTTAAGAAAAAAAAATTAAAACCTCAAGTTTAAATTTAATCCAGACTGATTGAGCTGATTTCCTGTTAAAGTGCCCAGATTTGTCAAGCCCGGGCACATGCTTAATGGGACTTGAGCCTCTATCCTCCCGCCCACCCTGTCCCGGGTCAAGAGTGACAAGACTGGCTCAGCACCTTGCTGTGACAGCCGCAGTGGCCGTGAGGGGAGGAGTTCACGGCCGAACCAGCGCCAAGTCCTCGAGCTGAAAAGCCAGGGTCCAAACACGAGCACCCCACCCAGCAAGTTCGCATGTCTGCGGCTTCAGTTACAGGCAATCCACGGGAAAACGCTGGGTGAAGAATTCCAGAAACAGTGATGGATGGATTTCACCTAACGATTGCAATGCTACACTTTGCTGTGCCTGCTTTACTTCGTCCACGGTCACTGTGGTCACTGCCTACGCCTGACTTACAGGCTGCACTGTAACGTACGCATGCGCCTGAGAAACTGGACTGCACATGAAGCAGGTGCCGGCAGGTGCCAGGGGGCTCAGACTCTATGCTGCGTGCATGGGCAGGGCTCTCATGTGCCGTTGTTTGCATGGCATATCCTGCTGTCTGTGGCTTGTGGTTGTCTTCTGCCCTCTTGCCACTGTGTCAACAGGGACATGTGCCTTCACGGGCAAATTCACTCATGGTGTGTCAGGTGCCTCCTGCATACCAAGTGTTGCATCAGAGCTGGAGCAGAGCAGACACTGTTGCGAACGCAGCCCCTGGGGAGCTGGGCCAGGGACACTCCGCTGTTATATGTTGCTGTTGCTGGTGGTGGGAGCCAGCCAGAATTGTCAAGGCAGGGAGGGGGAGATGGGGGCGCAGGCCCAGGCTCCCAGCTGCAGCCCCCTCCCAGTGCTGGCCTGGGTGCCATGCACGGCGGGCCTGGGGCAGCTGTGGTTGAGGAAGCCAGGAAGGGTGTGGGAGAGCAGCTCCCAGCCTGAGATAGGAGCAGGGAACCCCTTTGCTGCTCAGGTCCCCCCAAATACTTCCCCACACCTCTTCCCAGCGGCCTTGTCAGAGGAGGGTGGCCACAGCTTAAAGGCGGTGCCCGCGGGAGAGCCATGGGCCGCAGCCCCTGCCTCAGGTCCCAGACTGAAGCCTAAGGGAGCCAGGTGACCGCGCGGCGGGCAGAGTGGCCCCATGAGTGTCCCGCTTCCCCCGGAGCTGTGTGTCCCCCACATGGGGACTTTGCCTCTGGGCTCGGTACTGGAGGCGGACGTCTGAAGGCAGGGCCATTTCCGGGCGGTGGGAGAGGCCTCTGAAGAGGCAGGAGGGATCCTCAGAGACTGGAAAGGGGGGAGCCTCAAGAGG